TCCAAAGAGTTAAATGTACTAAAAATACTAACATAAAAACTGCCAAGAAGATGTTTCAAATTTGGTATTTTTATTGGATGTACAGAAATACTGCAAAATGCAAAAATCAAGATTGTTGGGGGCCTGATTATTGGTTGACTCCGCATATAAATTAAGTTAAATTTTTACAGTTCTTTTGGAAGAAAAAAAATGTTGACTTATAATCAGAACAACATGGGTATTCCTGAGGTGCCAGTACAATATTATTTATTTAATGATATTTATATTTTAGGCAACCAGTTTTCACTGGCCCTGTTGGGAAGTGGCAACACACAGGTTTTCTAATATGAAATAAATGCAAGGTTTTCAACTCTTATTATTACTGAGTTGTAACAGTAGATGAGTCGATAATATACCTTCATGCTTGGTTGAAAAGCGGTGTGGGTTTTGGATGAACAAAGATTATCTGGATACTGGGGTATTAGCCATAAGTTCATCCTCCATTCTTTTGGGGCTAAATATAAATAACTATATTAAAGAACATATAGTTATATATGTATACATATAAATAAATATATAACTATCATTACTACATTTTTTAAAATAACCAACAATTGAGTATTGGTTCCTGCCTGAAGACTGAGGTACACATTCATAGAACCATAGAGAATCATAGAGAAATATGGCTGGTACAGACCTCCAGGCTAGGGACAGACATTATACATAAACCAGTTTAAGTGATCAGAAACTGATTTAAACCTGTAACAGAACAGATGTTCAGTGCACATAAACCAGTTTGAAAATGGCTGAAACCGGTCTGAGATAAAGCTGGTTGAATGCAGTATTGGACTTCACTGATTTAGCTGAAACCAGTTTATGCAATGTCTGTCCCAGACCCCTTGCTGGTTTAAGTTAAACCAGACTCCTCCAGCATCCTGGCATGCTCTTTGGGCTGGGTGAGGCTCTCTGCTCCACAGCAGAGCTGGCCCCTCCCCTCTGCTCCCTGGCTAGAGCTCGGCAGAGACTGCAGGCGTCTGCCTGGCTTCCTCCTGTTCCCAGCCCCCTACTCCTTTCCCCATTCCCTGCTAAGCAGTGATTCCCCATACCCTCTGCTTTACACAGGCATTAGCTAGCAGACCACATGCTGACTACAGTTCCTGCTGTGGCAGACGGGACAAAGGCAGAATCAACAGGTAGCTGGTAATGTCCCTCTGTTGTTTTCTTAATGGGCTGATAAACACTGAGTTAGGGGTGATAAACACTATGTTATCAATTCCCTGCTGGGCTTGTCAGAAGGGGTGAGGGGGAACCCCTCCCTAATTAGAGTGTCATGCAGGGCCTGGCCACGCCACCCTCAGCTCAGCACTATGGAAGGGAAGGGAAGGGAAGGGAAGGCTGCTCTAGCACCACCCCCCTCCCCCGCTTCCAGCCTGAGCTACTGCAGGCATGTACCTGCATTTCTGGGATGTCTGTACAGTTACAAACTGATTTAGCCTAGCCAGGTTATAGACTAACCTGAATCAATTCAGTCTCAGTCTTTTTGAATGTCTGTCCCTAGCCCAGAGCTCAACTAGTGATTGTAGTCCAACCCCTTGCCTGAGGCAGAATCATCCCTTTCCAAACCATTCTCTACAATCCATAATCTAAACACTACATAAGACTACCATCTGCCCTTATGCAACATAGACCTGATACCCAATGTCTTGCTTCTATGAAAAGTTGTCAATACATGCGCAAGAGATCACAAGTAGAGGGCCAGTCAAAGTTTGCCCCACACAGCTGCAGGCCTGGTGCTCCCAAACACCCAAGTCTTATGCAGAAACCAGGTATGTGTCTAAGATGTAACTTGACCAGTTTAACGCTTGTTCAAGCAGGCACTGACTAGTTGAGAGTTCAGGCTTTTTGAATGTCTTAGCTGACAAAACTGAAAGAAGGCATGGGTGGAACGAGGGGGATGGAAGAATGGATCTCAAGTGTAGCAGGAGGAAACTCTGAATCTGTGGTAGAGCTAAATAGGGAATTCTGGGACTACGGGAGTGCCAAAAAATGCCTGAATGTGGAGAGTTACTATTTCGCTTCCTGTTTGCTGTTAAGCAACAGGCAATGAATATGGTATTCATTAAAATGCCCTGTATATTTTTAACAAACACGATAATCAGATTTCTGCCACTGTACTAGGAAGCAAATTTTGTTTTCCTTCCAGGCCTTGTAAAGCTGTAATTTTTACCTCATGCAGGAGGGGTTTTCTAGGGCTTCCAGGAATGTAATTTTTCCTCTTTAAAGCCTGGTTCTACTCTAAAAAATGACTCTGTGGAAATAGGATTGTATGAATGAGGATCTGGTTTTCTCAGCTTGCAAGAAAGAAGCTGATTCTTGTAAGTACCACCACTATAGACTTTCCTTCTTTCCTTCACACTCATCATGGCTGGTTATAAAGACTGGAGGCTCGCACACTCACAACTGCGCTCCTTCCCCTACCACTTTTGCATACCCTTTCATACTTCTCTGTGCTTCTATGGCCCTCCTCTCTGTAGTATCTGAACACCTCCCAATCAACATTATACTGCTGTATACCAAAAAAGCATTCTTCTCATTTCATGGAAGCACTAAGTAAATTAAGTGACTTGGCCAGGGGTGGAGGCAGGAATTAAACCCAAGCCTCCTGATCCTAGCTCAGAGCACAACCCTCTGACACAGCCCACCTTACTGTAGCATTTAACGAGGTGATCCAAGTGTGACTGAGAGCCCTCGTATCAGGATTTAGTCAACAGCCCTAATGACAATCTGTAAGGAACATTAGACTCAAACTCCTCTTCTAAAGCTGCACGGCAAATAGAAGTAAGAACTGGTGCAGACTTATTTTTATTCACTGCAGTCAGCAGAATCGAGCTGGAATGTGCACAAGAAAAGCACATCTGGCGAGTAAAGGAGGTGGCGTTTTTACATAGCCACTTTACAGAGTAGAGCCACGCTTTAAATTAACATTCCACTCTGCACTTTATAAACAATACGGGCCAGATCCTGCCCGGCGCCTCAGTGCAGTGGAATTGGCCTGGTCGGGGCACACGAGTGAGGCCACAAGGTTTTTGGAACGTGCAACACAGCACCGCTGCGCTGCGAGTGAGAGCCTGTCATCGACCTAAGGAAGCCTTTGGCTGAAACTCCAGTGCTAGTGAGTTCATGCTGTATTCTGGAGGTTCCCTCTTTCACAGTTTTCATGGACATTAGGGCTGGAAGGGACCTCGCAAGATCACTGGGTCCAGCCCCCTGCCCAAAGGGCAGGAAGTCAGATGACCCCAGCAAGATAAGCATCCAGGCATATAGAAAATCAAAATCCACGTTGGTATCTAGGTTACAAAGGCACCTCCTGGGATGAGAAAAGGCCAGGGAATAATGGGGATCATCCGTTCCCCAAAAGGTAAGGACAGGAGAAGTGGGGATAGCTTGCCACAAAGTGCAGTAAAGAAGTTCTCAATAATGGCCCTGTGATGTACTTCTTTTAGCTGTGGAGCTTGTGCCCATGAGAGAGATGCTTACATCTGAATACACACTGCAGGGCTTCAGGGCAAGTAACTTGTACAGCTGCTGCAATCCCAGCTGGGCCCGCTCCTGCAGGGATTGCCCAGGGCAAAACTGCAAAAATAACTCGTTAAACAACCCAGGGCGACACTGGCCAGCAGGAGACTCAACCTAACAAGAAATCAGTCTCCAGCCAAACAAACCACTTCCTCCAAATTAAGTAGATTTTGTTTTTAACTCGAACGAGCATCTCGAAGAGAGGACAGAGATGCCTGCCTGCTAACACCAGAAACTTTGACCCATTTGGATGGTCTACTTTCTCCAAAAACAGAGCGCTAGGACCAGGGAGATCTCATGGCTGTTTGTTTGAGAAACAAAGCTTCCCTCCTCCGAGATGAAAGAAATCAAGGAGTCTAAACTAATCAAATCCTACATGCCTCTTGGCTCAAGTTCAGCTTGTCGGTGATGCAGCTCAGTGAAGTGAGCAACATTTATAGTGCTAAGAGCTTTGAGGAGAGGGGAAAACAAGATAGAAAGAAATGTGCTTGGCTGGAAGTCAAACAGGTGTATGGGACTAGAATCCGAGACCATAAGAGTGTCTTGCAAACATGGAAGAATAGCTATATAAAACCAATCCTTTGTGCTTTATTAATGAAAAGTAGAGTCTCTTTATATTACACATGCATTTTGGCAGACAGGTCACTAATATTTCCACATTTGTCTGTTTGGAATTGTAACGCTCCAGTTGAGAGTTCCCCAGATTGGCAAAATAACCAGGTTACTGCGCACCCTTGCATGCCCTATTTTACAGCCAGACAAGCAAATGACTTTCCACAGCTGGATTTGCCTCTGTGCCCCTTACAGCTGGATCACAGAGCATATATACATCTATCTGTTGGATAAAAGTGTCAGTCCCTGGTTGTTGTCTAGTCTGGGTTGCTAAGATTTCCTCTCTCCTTTATCATTCTGAAGCGCAACTTGCCTACTCCTTCCAGGACTGCCCTGTACCCAAAAGTGCCTCAGCCAGTTTCTGATAGGGATCTTCAGTACACATTAACAAGGGAACTGGCTTTCTTGACCTACTGGATTGAAATAAGCAAAAATAAGCCTTAGATTGAAATGTTAAAGAAATAGAGACACTTTCCAGTGAGACTAATCTAATTTAGGAGACAGCAAAAAATAAAAAAGAGAAAAATATCACAACTTCATTGAAACTTGCAGAGAAATGGCTCTCGGCTGAAAACAACGTAATGGAAACAGTAACAGATAATCTGACCTAAAATGGAATTTTTTACATTTAAACGACATGTTCGAGAGTAATGTGGCAACACTTAAACATTCAAATCCAAGCCTTAAAAGATGAAGATTTTGATCCCCCTTTAATTCAGAAAGTCTGGTACCACATACTGATCTTCCTTTGTATTCCTGAACCGCAGTTATAAGCACCTTCATTCTTCCCTGCTACTCTCTGCACAATTGTTTAGTTGAAACGTGGTCTTTACCTGAGAGGCGTCTGGGCACATCGGTGATGGCAGGAAGCCCCGTGCCTCGTGTGGAGGAGAGGGGAGTTGTGGAATGAATGGATGGTGAAGTCATCTGGCTCAAGTAGGATGGATAAGATTGGTCATATGACCATGGAGGGGATGATTGTGCCTGTCTGGGGTCTAGAAAACAAAACAAAAGAGAACATTTAAAAAAAAAAAAAGGAAAGAAAGAAAGAAAAGAAAAAGACATAGGGTCTCCCCCAGCCAAATCTAAGCCCACTGATGTTATGAAGAATGGGAATGTATGAGAAATAACATTTCCTTCCCCCACCCCATGCCCTTTTCCTTCTCCATTTATCTGTGCTTTTTCACCTTGCAAAATAATCAGGTGAAAAACAAACAGCACGGAGCAAAGTATTTCCTTTGATTTTTTAAATGGTAGCAAGCGGAGCTGAAATCAATGTGGTCGGGGGTCCGTACATTGCTCCTCTCTCCTGTCCAGCTCTCAGAAAAAATTCCAGCATCAGCTCCCAGGTCTGTTAACACCTTCCACACCTCAGTGCTATCAGGCTTGATTTTTTTAAAGTTTATTTTAGCTAGTTGGGGGTGGGGGCAAAGGGGGAACACAAAAGTTGTGAGCCACGTCTGCCAAGTTATTATCCAGTTTCAACATTAAACAGAAGGGTTTTCAGTGCTGAGAAAGTGATCCAAGAGGGAAAATGTCATGAGCCCTATCAGCATCTATCTAAAAAAGGTCACGTCTGAATTCTAACTCGATTACCTACAGTCATCATAATTATAATATGAAACCAAATGGTTTGGGGTAACCATTGAAACTTAACGATGCCTTTTGATGTACTTTTTATAGACAACTTTGGAGGCAAAGATTCAAGGCCCAGTAGGTTATCCTTGCTGTGAGCTTCTGGTGACTGCACTGGATGACAGAAGAGGAAGGGGAGGTTCATTTTCTTATCGTTACAATTTGCAACTTTCATTGTTAGCTATTATCTGTTGAATCACCACTAGAAACAGGAATTCATCATAAATATTCTCTCTCTTTATCTTGGTGAAAAACCCGAAAGCATTTCCTAACCGGGAGAGTTTCTGTTGGGATCTGCATGATGTACAGGAATATTGCATATACCACTGCCTCTGAATTTACTTGTACACTTGGGAACCCATCTTTCATAGCTTCATAGATTCATAGATATAGGGTCGGAAAGGACCTAAGTAGATCATCTAGTCCGACCCCCTGCCCTGGGCAGGAGAAAATACTGGGCTCATATGACCCCAGCTAGGTAATTATCAAGCTTCCTCTTAAAGACCCCCAGGGTAGGAGCCAGCACCAATTCCCTTGGAAGTTGGTTCCAGATCCGAGCCGCCCTGACTGTGAAGTAGTGTTTTCTAATATCCAAATTCTTTTCTAATTTCTAAATTTTCTCCATTTCCAAGGTAGCAAATCAGCTCCAGTTTGACTCAAGAAGCTACTACACTCAAGACGCTGAGCCAAGGTTGTGCCTTGTCAATGGAAATGCAATAGCTGCATGGCAGAAGCAAAGCCCCCGTTTTCAGGAAATTCATCTTTTTACAAAAAAAAACCAAACCTCCCACTCTGCTCTTCCACACAGAAAAACCTTGTAGCTTCAGCTATTCCTTGTTTATTTTTTCTGTTCAGACATGATTTGTTTGTAGAGATGTCTGGAAAGCAGATACTTCCTTGAAGCAAAATAACTATATAGATAAAAAAAATCCTTTCCAATTTAATTTTAAAAGGATTTTCCCTGAGTTTGCCGTTTATATTACAGTTGAGTAATATAAATGGTTAACATAAAAGCTCCTTAGAAATCTGAAGGACACTTGATCATTAAATGTAATGAACAACTTTTGTCTTAACAATTTCAAGGTATGGGTTGTATAGATTGGCACGGCTTCAAATCCGACTGACTCTCGTTGTTATATCTGATATCGACATGTTTCTCTGCTTCACGCTAGTACGGCTATTCATGATTCAGTCTATGTTAAGCAATCTGCAACTGGAAAAGCAGAGGTGTGCTGGGAAAACAATCTTAACAGTAATGAAGGGTCAAGAACAGACCCGCAAATCCCGACTCCATCGAACTCTAGATTGTCAGTCCCAAACTGGATCTAACCCAGCCCTCCCTTATGGTTTTGATTCGAGGTCAGATCCAATACTGGAAGGGGCCTCAGTTGCAGCTAAAAAGCAGAAAAAATATCAGAAGAATGGCTGTTCTTGTAGGATTTGGTCCAAGATGTGGGACGCTCGTGAGGATAATTGCTGTCATGGGATGTTTGCCACATGAAATGGCGGAAGCCAGACTTTTGTGGTATTTTGGCATCATGGTATCTTGAACCTTAGTCCTTCTTTGGCCTTGGACCCTGAAATCTAGCCTAAACCTACATCTAAGCACAGCCTCGTTGGCTCACCCCAACTTAAAATGAAAACAAAGACTTCTGGGTCATGTCAACAGAATCCTACTTTTTACACTTGACTGGCGCAAGGTCATGAGAGCCACAGGAGTTTTAAATACACAGCATAAGATAGCAAGAGAAAGAGGTGGCACTGTAAGTCACTGGGACTCAGGAAATCAGTATTCAATGCCTGGCTCTGCTACAGACTTCCTGTGTGACCTTGGGCCAGTCACTCACCCTCTCTCTGCCTTGGTACCCCAGCTATATCATGAGGATAATCATAGTGTGTTTCTCCATCTCGTTGCATCACCTATTTAGTTCGTAAGTCCTTTGGAGGTGGGACTGTCTCCTCCTCGATGTTTCTAGTGCAACAGGACCCTAGTCTAGTTTGAGTTTCTCTCTTTGAAAAAGAGAGCTCAGCTTCAGCTCTGTAGAAAAATGAAGGCTGAAGGTATGGAGCAGTGGTGCTCAATCTTTTGGGCCCAGGGGCCAGATGAGTGTCGCAGGGCCAGTCCATAGGCCACGTTGGGCCCTGTGTGCTGGGATGAAGCCCTGGCACCCCATGCCAAGCTTGGGCCCTGTGCTGCTCTGTGGGCCAGACACAGGGCCACGCGATTCGGCTTGCAGGGTTCCCCACTGCTCCCCTGCCACCAAATTTTAGGACCCGTGGGGTGCTCCACCTGTGGGGAGCCAGATCTGGCCTGTGGTCTGGGGGTTGAGCTCACCAGTATGGAGAGAGATAACAGCTGTACTGCTATCACAGGATACATCTAATTATCCTGTCTGCATGATTACTTTGCAATGTAAATGTAGCAACACTCAAACTCCTCTTCTAAAGCTGCACGGCAAATCGAAGTACGAACTGGCGCAGACCCCACTCCAGTGTTAACCCTGCTTCATCCAGGTTCAAAGCAGGGGCTCACGCGTGTGGCTTGTGCAGGCTACTGCAGAGGTGCACATGTAGATTTGTAACAGCAGCCTCGCACTCCTCAGCAGCTGCTTCCCCCACTTCATAGCACCTAAAATGCATTCTTGTCCAAATCCTCACCTCATCATCCGTAAGCAAGCAATGAAAGCAAAACAAAACCAAAGCCCGGGCACCACTGATATAAGAAGTCAGTATTGCAACTCTGAGTCACTACCAGGGAGGAAAGCAGCAATGCACAATAGTGCAGAGTAATGAGGTCCCCTCGCCCTAACTCGGAGCAGGGAGGAGAATCACTCCCTGTGGCTGCTTGACTTCATACATGGCATTTGGCCTGCCAGCAAGCAGGAAACGGAAGCACCTAGTTCACAAGGTCCCCGAGCAGAAACCTTCAAACAAACTCCTCTTCACTGGTACCTGTGGGTATTTCGTGTGTGCAGGCTGTGGGGCGGGTGGAGGAGGAAGGGAGTGCTGCCAATCTATAGCGACCGATAAGTCGCATTTCTCACCAGTCCAACCTGGGATAAACCCAATGTCTGTTTTCACCCTTAGAAGCCAGGAAGGATGACGTTCGTCTGAGGTTTCTAGTAACCAAGCCAGTTACTAGAGTTAGATTCAGCCAGATCTGAAGTGATGATAGAGTTGCTGCTACCAGCTGTGTCATGAAGCGGTCAGGCCCTGGGGCGGTGGCAACGTCCAGTTGCCGCTGTGATGCCAGCATGATTTCAATTGCAATTGGGCAGCTGCTGACAGCAGCTGTTTTATTCACCCCTTCCCCCAAAAAAAGTCAGCTTCTGGGATGGTTGCCCCAGTCACCCTGCCTTAGTTATGCCGCTGCCTCCTACTCCGAACACGCCTGGCCCAAGTGCAACCTTGTCTGGGACCATGTGGCGAAGTTCCGCCTAGGGCCTTCCAGGTAATTACAGGGAAATTTTTGAGAAGGTTACTATTTCCTAGTTGTGTGCCAAGTACCCACTTAGCCTGGATAGCGGAGGTGTTTAATACGTGCAAACAAAGCAAATGCAATGACCTTCTAGCCAATTAGTGGTGCCCTTTCCCCTGCCCTGCTTGAGAAGCAAATTCTCTTGTTAGCTTGGATGCGGGACGGCCGGGAGTAGGGGGCCTTACAGGAGTCGCTCGTGATCAAGCAATTTCTGTAGGCCAGAAGCTTTGCATTGTCATGGAAAGGAACAGGAGCTCTGACAGGCCCAGCAAGTCTTTCCAATTGTTAAAAGCCTACAACATATGAAAAATCCCAGAGGTTTGACTCCCCCCCCCCCCCCCCCCCCCCCCCCTTAACTTAAAAAGCTCATTGAACAGGGGAGGAATAACCTACCCACCCGCCCCAAAGGCAACAATGAGATAGACCCTAAAAAAAGGCCAGCAGCGAGGTGAACAAAGCAGAGTGAAGTCCCGTATTTCTGTACTTGAGAATTTGGAGGGATTACTAATAGCAGTCCTCCTTTTGTAAACATTTTTTGTTATGCCTGCGTGGGTGTGAAGAAAAGTGCTTCTTTCATAACAGTCATTTGCAACAGGGCATACGCTGCTACACATAATGCACAGATCGGCTGAAACAAGTCAGCATGGGTGAGGTCTAAACTAATACATAAACAGCTCCTTCCTGTTTGCACTGCCAGGTAAACGTCTACAGAGCAGGAAATATCAAATCTTGCATATTATTTTGTCCCTAGTACTTTATTCCCACATTCGTAGTTACTGCTGGTAAATTTACACATTCTTTGACACTTGTCTCCCGCAGGCTTTTGTGTGCATCTCAGTGGATTCCTGGAAAAAATAAGGCTGTTTACAAAATTAGCCAAAT